GGAAGTGAGGGGAAAGGGGGAAAAAACAAGAGAGAGAAATGAGTTACAGTAGATGAGGTAGAGAGAAAAGATGGGAGGGGAGGGAAGGGGAGGGGGGATAGTAGAGGATAGGAAGGGCAGCAGAATACAACATACACTAGTATGGCAGTATGTAAAAAAGTGGATGTGTAACCGATGTGATTCTGCAATCTGCATAAGGGGTAAAAATGGGAGTTCATACTCCGCTTGAATCAAATGCATGAAATATGATATGTCAAGAGCTTTGTAATGTTTTGAACAACTAATAATAATAAAAAAATTAGAATAAAAAAAGTTTTAAAATTTGTAATTACGACCAATTAAACATTTGATGAAGTACCAAAGTGACAACTAAGCAGATTTAACTAATTATTAGCAATTTTTGTTTTCCATCGCTTCCATTCTACATAGAGCTAAAGATCATCACTCCTGTCCCCTCTATCTTTATGGTTTTACTCCCATACATGTGTTATCACTTTGGTCTCCTYATTATTAGGTAGCTATGGCCAAGGACCATTACTATCCTGTATGATACCCTAGAAAATGCTATACTCCAGAAAATAATTACTATCCTCAAGAAAGAAAACCTTACAAGTAAAAAGCACAAAAATAAAACAATATACTGTATTTCACTAAAATTAACTATAAAATCTAGAATTAAGTACCACTGGAGAAGGTAGTCAATTAACTTTTCAAAGCACTTTAATTACAGAAAATTTCAAACAGAATATCATAATGAAAACTCATACAACCAGATCTCAACTTCTCTAYTAATTCATAGTCGACTTTAATTTAATAATTACCTTGATTTCATTTTCAAGAAATCCTGTACATCATATTTTATGAATAAATATTTCAATATATAACTAAAAAGGAAAAATGCTTTTTGGGGAAGAAGTATCATGAATCCCACAATCACAAGGAAAAGCAAAACAAAAACCCAAAACAAATAATTCCTTAATATCAAATAAAGATCTGTTGAATTTTCCACAATTGTCTCATAAGTTATATTTTTTTACTTTCTTTTTACATTACATTAGAATAAGGATACAAATAAAATCCACACCTCACAATTGGTTGAATGTCATTTTTAATCTATAGTTTCCCCTCCCTTACTTTGTAAACTCCTTAGAATTTTTAAACTGAGGAAATCAGGTAATTTTTTTCATAATGGATATTTTGCTGATTGCAACCCCTGTCACTTAATATGCATCTCTGCTCTTATTTTGTAAACAAGAACAGCTTTTAATCAGGCACACTTGTGTTACATACTACTGCATTTTGGTGTTACTGACTTTCATTTAGGAAGTGCTTAATATCTGTCTCTCCTGTTATGAGGTTAACAGCCATTGTTAGTCTCTTCCTAAATCCATTAATTCAACATATTTTCTGGGTTTCAATAACTGTCCTGTTAGAGCCCAATCAAATTCATTCCTGAGGGTTTTTTTATTGTAATTATAATAGTCTTTGACAGCTTCCTTGCTGTTATGAAAAATATTTTTTCAAGAAGGTCTGATTCTTTTGAGAAACAGTATTTCAAGAACACAATCTGGGAACCAGGACAAGGACATAGTGTTTTCTTATCACTTAGAAATTATTTTATTTTTATATGATTTGAGGTATTAAAGATTGAACTCCAATGGCACTCTATCATTGAATTACATCCCCAGCCATTTTTTTTTTTTGGGGGGGGGGAGAATAGGGTGTCCCTAAGGTGACCAGGATGGCCTCTAACTTGTGATTCTTCTGCCTCAGTTTCCCAAGTAGGTGTGCCACCTCACCCAACTAGAATTTTTGTTTTAGAGTTGCTAAAAGTGTTCTTTTAGATCTAATAGTGCATTGAATAGTATCCCCTCAAAATYGTATTCACTTAGAACCTCAAAAAAATGGGTCTTACTGGAAATAGTCTTACCAAGCCAAGTAAAATTAGGAACTGACATGAGATCAGTGAGTTAGAGTGACCCCAAGTTCTGTAAGAGTGTTCTTAGAGAGAAGAGGATACAGAGACACACAAAAAAAGAAGACTATAGAGGCTGAGATTGAAGTGATACAGCTACAAATCAAGGAATGTCATATATTGCTATAACAGATCAGAAATTACAAAAACCAAGAAAAAAAAAAAACTCTTCCCTAAAGTCTTCAGAAGAAGACTTTACTCCACCTACAGACTTCTAGCCTCCAGAATGTTAAGAAAATTAATTTCTGTTGTTTCAAGCCATCATGTTTGTGTCATTTGTTGTAGCAGATCTAAAATATTAAGAGACCTAGATCTCAATTTTTAAAATAAAATTTTAAATAAAAATAAGCACATAAGCAAACTAAATTGGTCAAGGTATTCCTAAAACTTCTCTGCACCTAGAATACAACTTTTGAACTGAATTTCTCAGTGTCCATTTTTTTCATATATCATCACATATCTTCTGTATTATCAAAAACAATGGTGATTCCTTTTTAAAAAATCTATAAAGAAACTAAAATTAAATAGGATATAGAATTCACCAATTTTTGACACCCTGGGGTATGCTGGCACACATATCTAACATTTTACCTCCCAACACTCCCACTCAATAAAAAAACAGAGGGTTAAGAGAATACCACAAATTATGTTGGGATTTTTTTTTAAGTTGCTACTATCCATTCTCCAAATTTAATAATAGCACTGTATCCTTTTCTAAGAACATTCTTACTGAACTTGGGGCCACCCTAATTCACTATTATCTCATGTCAATCCTTAACTAACTTGGCTTGCAAAGATCTTATTTCCAAATGTGTTCACATATTTGCAGACAGTGATGGTACGGATTGGTCAATAGTTATTATGTAGGACAAATAAGAAAGAATCACACTTTGGAGATGTTAAAGTGAGGAGAAAAAGAGCTCCTAAGTACAGATCAAATAAGGGACATGCTGAATATGTCATGAAGACAAAAAGTAACAAAACCTCACAGATCAGAGTTAGTTTAGAACCTCCTCTTTTGACAGCTTTAGAGGTTTTATATCAGGTTACTATATTTCCCAAACTTTTGGAATACCTTTACCAAGTTAGTTCCAAAAACGGTTTCACTGCATTGTATCCCACTGAAAGAATGTTTTAATGGTAATTCCTTGCAAAGAGTTATCCCCCGTGGTATAATATACAGAAATTTTAACTTTTGGGGTTAAAACTATGATGCTAATCTTTTTTTCCAGTATCATCTGTAATCATCATAGTCCTACACATTTTTGCCAGAGGAAATAAATGACAAGTGGAAGAAATTATCAATGAAATAAGCACAAATAAACATGCATCAGTATAAACTAATCACCAATGAAATACCCTGAAGATGTATGCAAACATCCATATTTTTACAGAGCATTTCAATATGGGATAGATATCTTACATGTCAAAAAAAAAAAAAAAGAATTTTCCCCATGCTTATTGAGGTATAATTCACAAATTAAAATTGCATATTTAAAGTATACCACTGAATATTTTGATATAATATACATTTTGAAATAATCACTACAATCAAATTCATTAACATATCTATCACCTCAGTTACCATCTTTTTTCTTTCTTTTTCTTTCAGCTTAAGAACAATTAAGATCTTAGTTAACTTCAAGTATACAATACAGTATTGGTAACCATATTTACACTGTTGTTGTACATTAGGTCTCCAGAATATTCACTTTGCATAAACTAAACTATTATATCCTTTGATATATCCTTTGAGCAATATCTTCCCATTTCCCTTTCCCCTTGGAAACCCTATTCCCTGAATGAAATATTTTAATATACCCTCCCAAATGTTCTCCTAGCAGCTTTCTCCATTTCATTCTCATTTTACCAGTTGCTCAAGTAAAGACGTGGAATTAAACCTTGATTTCTCCCTTACTTGTACTTTATTTCCAGTCCATCAGCAAATCCTGAAAAGATTCACCTTTGAAATATAATAAAAGTCATGTGTTACTTGGCCTAACCTGGAAAACAAATGCCTAATTCCTTGATTACAAAAAAACTCACAGTAAAGTGTTCTCTGAAACAGAATGAGTAGCCTAAACCCCAAGGAGCAGTCACAAAGCACTATGTATGGTACTTTATTCAGGACTTGCTGTAGAAACTTTCTATATCAGAAGATCATAAACCAGACACAAACCAAAGACAGGGATATTTCACTGCTCAAGTGCTTTTATTTCCAAAGTTTCAAATTATAAATGTGGCAAGAGGTCAAACCACAGTTGCCTAGAGGAATTTATGACATCAAGTTTCTTGCTGTCATAAATTTRTTTTTCCTTGCTACTGTTTACAATTACTGACCCATAGGTTTTAAAATCTTTTTAAAGGACTTCTGTATTAATTAGTGCAATAAGACCACAATATAGGTTGCTAAACAGTAAATAACTGGAAAACATTCTTATATCTTAAAATACATACCCTCCTCTCAAGTTCAACAACAAGAAAAAAAAAAGGGATAGGGAACAGTATACATTACTACATGAAAGCAAAGTTTATGTAGGACATAATACAAGGTTCCTCGAGTTCTGTGCTCAACTTCTTTCCAACCCAAAATAGTATTAATTCCAATCAAAATATTATTTTTAACATAAAAAAGTAGAACACACACACAAAAAAACCCACTTACTATGTATCACCTGCAAGTCATAAAATCTTGCACTTAATACATCTTCCCTTATGGTGTTTTTTTTCCTGTAAATATCAAAAAAGGTGGAAAGATTTAAGAGAAAAGTATCATTATGTGCATGTATTTCCAATTCACTGACCATCAAAATGAAATCTATTATGTATTATTAACTATCCTAAGTTGGGTAAAGGTTTTAAAACACACTCTTGCAGACTTCTATGAGAACACTTTTTTTTTTTTAAGAGAGAGAAGAGAGAATTTTAATATTTATTTATTTAGTTAGTTTTTGGTGGACACAACATCTTTGTTTTTGTATGTGGTGCTGAGGATCGAACCCAGGCTGCATGCATGCCAGGCGAGCGCGCTACCGCTTGAGCCACATCCCCAGTACTAGAGAACAAATTTTAATATGAGTTCTAACAACACCTCAGTATTTACATAATAATCATATTGACTAATYACAAACCTGCTACTGCACTCTATGGTATAGAGGTAAGCAGATGTTACTTTTTTAGGGGCTATCAGGAAATTCTAGCAAAGAATGAATGACTAATTGCAACTCCCCTGTCAGTTGACATTCTCCACTCCAATGACTTAAAATGGAGGCTTATTAAAATATCAGAAAGAGAGGGGTATTTGGATTTCATTGCTTTAGAAGGGAGAGCCAAATCTGAATGGATCTTGTCCCTGTGCTGGAAAAACCAGGCACATGCAAAGGACTGAATGAGGGAAATGTTAAAAACATCCAAAAACTACAATAAAAAATAGAAACTGTAAATAACCATTAACTAATAGAGTTTTCCATTTGGGGAAAAATCATTCAAGTCATGACTTGTTGGGCAGAAGCAAATGATTATTTTACATGTGTTATTTTCGCCATGATATGCTTTTCATGTTGGACCCAAATAAATAGTCTCACAGTTCATTCAGTGGTGACCACTGCACTCTCATCAAGTTAAAAGAACTAGAATTCTCTGGGTGCACAAAAATGCACATCCATGACACTGTCACAGCCAATGATAGGAGGTATATCAGGCATGAAACTACCAAAAGGTATTTCTTCATGCCTGGGGAAAGTGTGCTACTATTATCTACCAAGCAAACAAATAAGAATCAAAGCTCTAATTTGCTCTAACACCATTAACTCTGGGAATTATAGGCGGGCTCCTTGAGTCTATGATGAATACCTTAAAATCATATACTATGTTTTACATCTGTAAACAAGTATTTTTTTCTGGAAGAAGGATCTATAGCTTTCTTCACGTTCTCAAAAAAGTCCATAACTATTGAAAAATTAAGATCTAAAGAGCCACAGTGTAATAAATTAGTGGCAGGTTCAATAAATCTCTGATCAACTGCTTTAAAACAAATAAATATATTAGTATTTTCAAGAAATGTATATTCGGGGCTGGGGATGTGGCTCAAGCGGTAGCACGCTAGACTGGCATGCGTGCGGCCTGGGTTCGATCCTCAGCACCACATACCAACAAAGATGTTGTGTCTGCCGAGAACTAAAAAAATAAATAAATATTGAAAATTCTCTCTCTCTCTCTCTCTCTCCTCTCTTTAAAAAAAAAAAAAAAAATATATATATATATATATATATATATATATATCCATTGTTTAATTTAGGTTAGATTTAAAAAAAAAAACAAAAGAAATGTATATTCATGATTTATAAATTTGATTACAAATGTGACAATATACTGACTTAAAAAAACACTTCTGGACAACTCAACAAATTTTTCCTTTTTTTTTTTTTTGGTGCTGGGGATCGAACCCTTGTGCATGCAAGGCAAGCACTCAACAACTGAGCTATATATCCCTAGCCCTCTAAACAAATTTCTAATCAAAATAAGCTTAAGTTAAATGTATTTGCTATTCATATTCAGTTTAGTTCAAAAAATGTTAAATATCCGTTCAACTCAAGTACTAAGCATTACATTTCTATACAAATATGCTAAACTAGGATTTAAAACAATTAAAGAAACAAATCCAAATGTACTAAAAAATTCTGAAACATAAAACACTTGTTATACCAGGCATGAAGCATCTATTAGAAAACAAGCAAAATGTGAAAGAAAACAAGGCATTTCAATTTTAACTACTTCATGAAGGACAGTGTGCTATTTTATTAGTTAACAGTCTACTTTTCAGCCAGATAAATGCTACTCAAGAGTGTGGTCTGAGCATTTGTGCTTATCTGTTAACTGTTTGTTATTGGTTTGTGGTAATTACAAAACAGGAGTGAGCAGTAAGAAATTTTAATAGAAATTATACACTTTTGTAAATTTTTAGTCTTACAAAAGTTTTGCAGGAAATAAAAATAACCCTTCAGAAAAGACAGAAATGAAATTGTATTCTCAGATTTTAATTGATCCTTCCTTAAAATATCAAGTATAGGCTTTCAGATAAGTAAATACATTTAAAGCCTATTTTAAATTTAAAAAAAAAAGATATTATTTTTGTATTAGCTTACTAATGGTTCGGTTCATTTGGATTCCACTTTTAAAAATCACTAACCTTATACAGCTTTCTGAACTTTCATGACAGGACGGCTGTTTTTTAAGAGAGCTTTCAATATTCTTGTCTTTTGTTTCTCTCAGCTGTCTTTTTACTTGAATCTGTAAGAAAAGCACAATCAACTATTTAAAGTGATAATCCAACATCATAAATGATAACCTTTCAATTCTTCCTTGAAATAATAAAATTAAAACAAAAACAAAAGGAATGAAAAGTATAGTCCCAATACATATACCTACTCATTCAAGTATGATAAGCCACAGCTTAATTAAGTGTGCTAATTCCTGGGGAAACAAAACAGTGAGAGATAGGGTGTATAAATAGATCAAGTTAGAGGTTGATGGTGTCATTCAGTGGTACCGTACATTTTAAAAAAAGACAATCTCAGTAATAATTCTTTATATATTGTTTATATGTTGGATTAAATGAACTGTATCATTAAAATTTATTTCACCTGTTTCCATTCACTATTTTAATATGCCTATTAAAAATTTTAATTGTATAGTGACTTATAGTACCCTTCTATTAGAAGCACTAATCTAGATGACAGCATGAGATACACAGATGCACAAGTAGAGGAATAGAAAAGGAACAAATTTTAAGACATTGTACAAAAGATATAAGATTAGGAAGCCTGCCCTTAGTAAGCTCCCAAGACAAATATGGGAACAGTACTATTTAATGAAGGAAAGAGAGAATTCATGGATCCTGGGTACTAAGGAGCCATGCCTTGGGGGTCCTGGATGTGGGGATCAAGAGCTGAATGGTTTCTTTGCCTTGACCTTTGTGGGAGTGAATTGGTATTTGTACCCACACAATTGCTGACTTGCATCCCTGATAGAGAGGAGAGGAGCTCTACAGAGGGAGAAACCAAAAACTCTCTCAGCTCCCTACAGACTGAAAGAGAGCTGCTGAATTGAGGAGTGTCTCTTCCATTTCCTGCCATTGCCCACCCCAACTAAAGACCCTTGCTTGCCTCCACTCAGCACAGCAAACAAGCTAACATTTTCTAAGGCCCATCTCTCATGACAGAGAGAGAAAGTGAAAACAATGAAAAATWAAAATGGCACAAACACACACAAAAGATGAGGGAGAGAAGAGATGAGTGACTGGGGCTGTGACATCAAATTAGGGCTGGGGAAGAGGGCAGGCAGGGAGTGAGCTGAGTCTGAATTTGCTAATGTTTGAATTCCTTTTGTATTCTAGATGAAGATATGCTATGAAGTAGTTGGAAATATAGGTCTGATTCTTAGAAAAGAGATATGGGCTAGTAACAGAATTTTAGAAATCATCCAAATATAGGTAGCATATAACCTACTGAAAGAGCTGAATAAACAGACGGGGGAAAGTATGCTCAAAGAATTGAAATGAAGACCTTTATAGGAGCTCAAGTGATTAATAAAAAGTAAAGGGAAGGTAGGAAGATGGCAAATAAGATTAAAGGTCAGTTAAAGGTCAGATACATAAAACAATCAAATATACCTACATACCCATAAAAGAAAGATGTCCTACAAGCCAAAGAACATCGTTAACATTACACTCAGAAATTAAACCATGGGATTTGGAAGTCAGAATGTTATTCTGGACCTTACTAACAACTGCTAATGTAAAATGTTAGAAATAAACGTTCAGTGGAAGCTAAGGGAGATATCTCATTCAAATTCAGCTGTAAAAAGAAAGTGGAGTTTCAACAGAAGTTAACATCAAAGAAAGATATTAGAGAATTTGAAAGATGGTTCATGACAATACATACTTTGTGCCAAATTTTAATATAAGTAATATGCAAATCCTATTAATTGAATTTAAAATTTTATTCCAAGCAACGCAACAAAATATCTTTGGAAGTTATCTGATGCCAATCAATCTTTAACAACATAATTTTATAAAGACTGTATGAAAAAAGAAAAAAACATAAGTATGTCTTCAGAGAAGTTACTTAATTTTTATTATAGCATCCATAATATCTTTTCTGCAAGATATATACTATTTGTATAGATGGCCTAGATTACAATAAACAAATAACATAATAAATAATTACAATAAACAAATCCTTTTTCACACATCATTTTATCTGAACTGCAGTCTAATTTGCACTTTACACATCAAGACTCATCTGACAAACATACCAAAAAAACCTATAAAATCCTACACTAAGAGTAACTAGTGCTTAATAAATAATGTACATTGCATCCATACCCTTTTCTCCAGTAACTAAACTCTCACAGACTAATAGTGCTGTCTGGAAACAGTTCATTTTTCCCATTTATAACATCATATACTTATAACTGAGTTTGATCATTTTTAGCTATTTATCATTATCACATATCTTTCATTTCTCATAAATTTTACCTAACAACTATCATTTCTTTCTGTTTCCCTTTACTCATTAATTCAAGAATGTTCCATTTAGTTTTCCCTTTTTTATTACAAGTCAAATTCAACTTCAATACAAATCATAATGATGACTCATAATAAGAAGTAACATCAATGAAATAACCAACATTTAAGACAAAGACATCATTTTAAATTTAATTTTTATTGGCTAACCCCCAAAATTATTTTGTTAATGAAAACACTTTTCAGATATTTTGGACTTAAATGTTTATGGGGATTGGTCTTTGAATCTAATATTCCATTTTAAACAGTTTTTCAATGGAAAAATGTATTCAAAGTGCTTCCCAACTAATAAATGTTTTGTAAATAATAGGATATGAGTAGAATGTTATTCTAAAAGTTTAAATATGCTGTATTTAAGTGTGAAACATCTTTCAGAGCATCAGAAATCTAATATATTTGTGAAAAATAATAAGGCAACCACTATAGCTATATCCTTTATAGGAAGAAAAAAAATAAAAAAAAAAGGTTCAGAATTTCTGTACCCTTGTTGAAAGGTGTGACTGTCATGCTGAAGAGGAATGGTTGTACATATTTAACCTAAAAGTTGACCAATTTTCTAATATCCACAAACTGGAAATATATCAAAGCAAAATAGCCTCAAATAACTTTATACAGTTTATGCTACAAAATAATATCTAAGACTCACCTTAACACACCCTTCCACAGCACTCAATTTAAACACTGCCTGAAAAGGTTTTCGGTCAATAGGACATGAAGCCAGTGTCTGAAAAATGATAAACAAATTATATACTTACAAATGTTACCTTAGTATAGATCACATTAAAYGATACTAAATACAGTTGTAAGTTTTCCACTTTTTCCACTATAACAACAAACAGAAACGTGTTTTTCTTCTTTCAAATATAAAGGAGAGAAAATACTCTTGTCTGTGTCATGCCAAAGAATAAATACCCTGAATTGGTTTCATTCATTCAAATATATACTGAATACCTATTGTATGTTAGTAATTGGAATACAATGATGAACAAGAGAGATAATAAGATCTCTGTAATTAAGATTTCATTAAGATCTGCTACCCCAGTGAGAACTACCATATAATGAAAGCTGTGCTGAAATCTACAACCCTGAGATGTAAAGCTGGCTATTATGCTAAATTCAGCTGTGAAAAGAATGGCTTGGACAGGACTTTTACAAAATATTCTATATTTTCCCCAAAATCAATTATTTGAATAGGTAGTTGTGCCAACAATAAAAATATTTAAAAGATATGAAAAAATTAAGTATTCCACCACCCCTACCATCAGCCATTTAGATGACCTCTCCACAGGCAGTTCCTCATATAGGCTTTTGCACATATCCAATGCATATTTGTATATATGTCTTAATATTATGGTATAATTCAGAAATTGAACTAAATTTTTTCTCCTCTTCATTATATATCTTAGATTGGTTTACATTAGTAAATAAAGTTATCCCATTCTTAACAGCATATATGCCATGGTAGTTTTAGTTTACCCTTCCTTTTATATGTGGAAGGTTGAGACTATTTTCTTACTTTTAAAGGTTATACAAAGATTATTTTTCTTTAAACTGTCTATTCATGTTTTTTGCCTTTTTTATTAAGTTGCTAACTTTTTGAAATTGACATAGGTATTTTCAATTAAGGAAACTGATCCTTCAATCACTTTAAGATTCTATATCAACTTTATATAGTTACACTTTCTGTCCTTTCGAAATTCATGTGCATCAACTATAACTGAGGGTTTGATACTATTAAAAGTTGCACAAAAGTGGGTTTATACTATTTAAATAATTTAAGATGGAATATTTTCTACCAGGAGGGAGGACTCAGCAATCTATGAAGAAAACACTAATATCTATGGTTACAAAAGTAAAAAAACGAATTTTAAAAATATAATAGCTGGGGCTGGGGATGTGGCTCAAGCGGTAGCGCGCCCGTCTAGCATGCACGCGGCCCGTGTTGGATCCTCAGCACCACATACCAACAAAGATGTTGTGTCTGCCGAAAACTAAGAAATAAAATGTTAAAATTCTCTCTCTAAAAAAAAAAAWATATATATATATATATAATAGCTGCAGTCCAAAAGATCAAAAAGAGTTATAGAATCTATATAAATTACCTTAATTATTCATTAGTGAAAAATGTGATATTTGCCTTTCTGGGATTTACTGCATATTTAGATATGCTTACAGAACTATAGGTAGAACAGACTGTGTATAATACCTGATAATACAATATTTTCACAAAACTCATGAGTTACTTTGGGAAGAGTCAAAACAAAAACTAGTTACCTTCTACCACCTTAATTAAAAGTGTTCTTTAAAAAAAAAAAAAAGTGTTCTTTTCCTATTAAGTAAGTATAGGAAAAATGCTTTACAACTCTGAACTGGGAAATGGGATCTTACTGTAAGAAGTCAGTTGGGACTGGTAGAAGCCAGCTCCACTAACAACCTCCAAATATCAGGGATTTACCATACTATGACTTTACCTACAGAAATCTTGGCCTTAAGAAGATTTGCTGTATGTAGCAAGAAAGCAGCTAAAGTCTTTTTTTTTTTCCAATTATTAAATTTGTTTTCGTAATTGTAGATTGTCAGCATGCCTTTATTTGTTTATTTTTATGTGGTGCTAAGGATCAAACCCAGTGCCTCATGCATGCTAGCCAAGTGCTCTGCCACTGAGCCTACAAACCTCGGTCATAACAATGTATTATTACAGGTAGTAATAGATAGTTTAAATAAACTATCTAWGTAATTGCTATGTTACCAATTAGCATATATGCTATAAAATTTCTTAGATGAGGCTATATTTTCATTACATTTATAATTTAAGAGTACTTAAATTTTTCAAGTTCTCCCAATTTTTATCAAAACTTAAAAATAATTTTATTTGTTTTAAAGGTAAATTTAGATACTCATAAAAAAAGATTAAACAGTAATAAATAAAAATTTGTTTCCTTCAATGTTGGCTTAATACCTAAGATGCTAGTGCAGTGGCTCTCGATTTACTGTCTACTTTCATATTTTCTCTTTTCTATAAATTTGTACAAGTTACACTGCCTCTCTGTGCCTCAAATACCTCACTTATGAAAATGGGAATAACAAAATTTATCTCTAAGGTTTCCAAGGGAATTAACTGAATATATAATTCTTACAAAAATGTGTGGCATATACTATCATGTAAGGTCTTAAAATTACCAATCAGCTTAACTACACTAACAAAAAACTAGGCACGGTAATACATGCCTATAATCTCAGCCATTTGGTGCTGAGGCAGGAGGGTCGCCAGTTCAAGGCTAGTGTGAACAACTTAGCAAGACCCTGTTTCAAAATAAAAAGAGTTAGGAATGTAGCTCAATGTACCCCAAGTTGAATTTCCAGTGCAAAAAAAAGAAAATACTTGATTACAAAAAAGACAATCTGTAATATGATATATATACAAGTGAGAAACATGAGTTCTTAGTGATTTTTATTGGAATTTCTACACTTAATAACACACATGGAAGTTATTTTCTTGTTCTAGGATTTAGATATGAAGACCCAAAGAAAACTTCTATGTTCAAGAAATTTACTTGTATATCATTCAATGTCTGAAATTACACAACCTCATTTTTTCTTTGTTAAATTTCCTCTGTTAACATCAGTTAAATTTCACTTTTTTCCTTTACAATTTTCATTGAGACATGGTTTTAACTTAACCATTACATTTTGGTTTGTTTCAAATATTTGAATTCTGGGTAGGATTTTAATTCTCCTTTTCCTTAAGCATACTGCTTTGGATCTGTCTAAAGATTCATTCAAAGAAAGAGTTCCACTACAACAAAAACAAAAATTAAATTAAAAAAAAAAAGCACAAGAAAAAGGGTGGTAGTAGTTAGATGACTACTACTATATAGTATCATAATCTACATATTCTTCAATTTCCTAAAAATAACTTAGTTAACATTAGAAAACAAGCTAATTCACTTTGGCTCAAGCTCAGCCAACATAAACATTTCTTAAAACTGATTTATCTTTCTAAGGTAAAGAAAGCGTAGGTCAAAAAACAAGTCACCAATGATAGACAAAATACCTTTTGATATGGCTAAGGAACAATGCTGTCCTTTTCTGATCTTGGGAAAAAACAACATAGCAAAGCATTTCACAGAAGAAACAGAAAAGAAATTCAGTTCTCTTGAGATAAGTCTTCACAGCATACACCAATAAATTAAGAGTGACTAAAGAATTCAATGAAAAATATCAAAACACATTTTGAATAATTAAGTAGACCGTTTAATTTTTTTCTTAATGTGTACTGTAGGGAAATTAAAAAGTTACTTTAACACACACTACAGTTCATTAATATGTACTAAAGCATCAAATTATATATAATGTGATAATCACATAATTGAAGAGAAAAATTTTACAAATTAATGTTAAAAGATGGTTTAGATTGACCTAATTTTATGGTATTTTGGGAAGGAACCTCATCCTTATATCATAAAGTTACTTTAAGTTTAATTTTCAAAGGAAARTTTATTTGACTAGAATAACTGGTTAAATTTCTAACAGTAAAAATTTAAAAGTCCACATTTAAAACTACTAGAAAAATTTATTCAATATATTTATTATATTTTTAAAATAATTTCAATTTTGAAGAAAATTATCACAAATTGTTTCATTATATGCAAAATAAATCTCAATTATTCATCATTTTGATTCCTTATATGTAATAAAAATACCCTAAATTATTATTCACCTGTTTAAATGAATGACTTTCAGTAATTAAAGTTTCTAATTAGTTTCATAATCAAAGTATCTAAAATCACCATTCGACTTTATGATACAGTTATAAAATTAATAGCATTTGCTCACTGCTTTATGATGTTATGTTTAATAATAAATAGAGCATACATTTTACCATGAATGCTCTGTACTAAGGTTTTATCAGTTAAGGAGGCCATTTTGATAGTAAAAATAATCTTCCTAATGATTTCAGTAAAACATACCCTAGTATTCTGAAGCGTTGTAAATTCCCAGCTCAGACAAACCCATATTTAAATGTAAGAACAGGAAACCTTCCTTATTTGGGAATTCAGGATTCTTGATTTCTAATATTTCTTGCTTCCTGCTGCTGCTCTATCCTCAATCACATAGGCTGACTATAGATAGCCCCTCCTAGAGAGAGAGAAGCAAGTGTTAAAGATAAGTGCTTAAAGACTAAATCTCAGTCTATGCTTCTTGGCAGTTTTCCTGTTCATGGGAATCTCTAATACATCCATGTATCTCCCACTAACAAATAAAGCATATTATAAAAAACTGCAGTTGAAAATCAAAGATGCCTGAGGAATGAATACAATTAGAAGTTGWTGCTTATTTTAAAAACTATTAACCAGGACCTATCCCTTCTCGTTTATGGTTCCAAAACACCTAGTCTGTATCTCCAAAAGTGCTCACCGGGTGTCAGCCTACATTTTCTCTGTCACACTTAAAACATTCTTTCAAGACAGTCCTGGTCAATCCATATTAGAGAAACTATGGTTCTTTGTACTAGATTTCAGAAGTATATTCCTAAAGGACAAATGGTTTTCAGTGATAAAATTAACAGTAAGCATTCCACCTAACTACTCAAATAGAACTCTTTAAATATTTTCCAAAATATAACAACTGGGTAGAATTATATTTAATCTTAATTTCTTCTGACATTTAATAGTTAAACTTTCTATTCCTAGTATAAGAACAGAAGACTTAGTGAACTACCTGTATAAATCATTTTATATATTCTGACATTTAAAACTAGTCTACACAGAAATTTACATAATTTACCTAAATGGTGAAGAGAGTATTAAATGAAAATCTTCACACAGAGACTGGTAAAGAGAATTAAATGAAAATCTTCATGAATAGTCTTTAGATAATGAGCATTCAAAATATAAAAATATTATTTCCCAAAGGATTAATTAATAGGGTAAAAACGGCATTAGATACAAGTTCAAGTTCTGGAAGACTGAGAACTAGCAACTTCCCTAAGGCACTTTAAGGATAAAGGTAGAAAGTACTGATCAACTATTGCACATATCTAATATACTTAAAATGAAATAATATATCTGACAATACTTTATCAGTTATAAAGGACTAATGTTAGTGGTACTCCAAGTAAGTGCTTAAAATATTGTCCCAGAGAAATACAATAACTGAAATTTTGGTAAGTTCAGTGATTTTGTTAAATTTGAGGGAAAAAATGGTTAGAAAAAGCCCAGCCAATAAGGCTTTGCTGAATTATTATGCCACTGAAAAGGGATTTAATCACCAGAATCAGGTGCAAATTTCCAATTACTGCATAAAGGGACACTTGTATAAAATATACTGGTAGTTAAAACATAAGTCAACTAACTACTCATATCATGATTTTCTGTTATATATTAATTCAAAAATATACTCCTCACCTGTCTGTATTCAACATTGTTGTCTGACTTCTTCAAGAACTGTATGTCACTTGGTAAGACTCTCTTCATTTCTAGTCTCATGAGAGAAAGCATACCTTTGTCAACTGTCCAATTTTGATTTCATTAACCTTACTTTCTCAAACTGAAGCTGCCAGCACTTGACAGGAAATTGAAGACTGAGATAAATAAGCTGAGGGAAGATAATCTGTGTATAGTGGGAAAACTAATCACATTTTCAAAAATTAATATTTAAAAGGGAAATATATTATTTAAAAGATATGGGGGAAGGACCTCAGAAGATAAAGAATATCTTAATCACATATATTGCATGTCCTTTTAATATAGTAAATGGGACTGAGGGTGTAGCTCAGTGGTAGTATATATGAGGTTTAATCCCCAGCACCATGTCCTCAACCCCTGTTACTCCCACCCCCGAAAAATAACAGTAAGAACCCTTGAAATGTTTTAAAAATGTAATATTTGTTAGTTCTCAAACCTTAACCCTATAAAGGCCAAATTTTTAATCATTTCTTGGCAACTGTGCCAAATTATAAATTCTATCTTCTTAACCAATGTGTGGGGAAGGGGCAGCCCCTTGTTTACAAGAACCATAATTATGATCAGCTATCACTACCGTCCATACATCAGATTTATCTAGCCTTCACCTTTCTAAATATCTACTTTAAATGCACAAACTCAGATAATTAAAGTTAAATTTATAGAAGTTCAAAAATCTCACTAAATATAGATTGTATTTTTACTTATAGTATGGGTAAAATAAATAAATTCCTAACTAAGTGACTGATGAAACTTTAGTACACTGGCTCTATACATATTTTAGTCCAATGACTTTCTTTTAATTTCAAATTCTCAGCTCTAATAGTGATGGTTTAAACAAATAAAAATTTCAATTATCCTATAATTCAACTATACTGTCTTTGTTCAACATTCTACTTCTATACCATTATACTTTTATAAACTAACAGGCTTACCATCTATGAATTCCTTGAAACAAAACAGTCAAACAGTACAGCTTATTTAAATTTGTTCTGGTGTCCCTAAGAAAAATATTTTACTTAAAAGATAAGGGGAAAGGAGAAAGAAAAGGGGCAATAAGGCTCTAGGCCTTGAAAGTAAGCACAAGTTCTACTATACTGAATTCTTTTGTCCGAAGTGGATTCTATGGCATACCTATGTACTACAAAAGGTCAATTAATTACTTTCAAATCCTTACACAGTTTTTATTTATATAACCATAGAACCAATATTTTCAATCTTGGACAGATTAAAACTAACTTTGATTTTGGAGATAGATACTAAATATCAGTTTCTTACAATTAGAATTTCTTTAATGCTCCAAATACTAAGATGAAAGTAAATGACTCTTTTTTGTATGTCTGTGTGTTTGATATGACTTCTGAATCACATTTCTATGAATCCTGATAATACATTTCAGCATGGTTGAATTTCTGAAAGACATAAAATCTAGAAAAATGATCCTGAATACATTCTGTGCTACTTTCTTATCATGTAGATTTCCAATCACTGTAAATGTCACTTTGATAGCTACTCTTCTAGAAGTTAACATAAGTAAAATGTTAAACAATAGATTAATTTTTTTTTAGTTATTTTAGCTTTAGGCTATTCCTTCAAGTATTTGAAAACAAATTACTACTTGAGTTCAGAATTCTTACTTTGTACATTGCATAAATATTAACATAGCAAATTAAAAGTTAATTAAATGAAAGGATGTATAAGAGCACTATTAGCATAATGCATGCATGTAGACTCTAAATATATATACTTATTCCCAATCCTGGCATCTAAAGTAAACTGCATACCTCTCTTTTAAACAGAAGGCAGCTGAGGAAAATGAGAGAAAAGAACTTATGATGTTAAAAAAAAAACACAAAACCTAGTGAGCTTAAAATCTGATTCTATTTGTCAAAGTACTGATATATTTTAAAACACATCTAATTTTTATCACAGAAGATTCAATTAAATATTAGTTTAAAGCCTAAGTGACTTGGTAAAACAGCATTCATTCATAATTTATAATGAACAATTTATTAGTAGACTGTCCTCTTGCTACTACATAACTTAACCATTTATTCAACTGATGGCTGCTATTCCCACTAAGGACAACACAATAATTCAGAATTATTCTCCCCTTTCAAAATTAATTACTTTGTTTAACAAATTCCACAACTCTAACCCCCCAGCATAACTTAAGATAGTAGCAAAGTAGTTAAGTACTTGTTTTAAGAAGCAATTTCACTTTAATAAAATGTTCATGTCCAAAAGAATAACTCAAGAGGAAATTACTGCATTCAAGAAAGATGTTGACTACAATACTTACGATATCAAGTATTAAATATTCAACAATTAACACACAATTAAGTTTACTGCTAACTTGTCTAATAAGGTGGAAAACATGGATAGTCTACAGAATCTAGCAATCACCACTTCTCAACATACAACCGTTAAAGCTTACGGTTGTATTGAAAGATGAACTTGGTGTGGTAAGGAAAGACAGAGGACCATGTCTATACATTCTACTTTCTTAAGTGAAAAATACATATTCAGATTATTTTTGAAGTTCACAATTATCGGTCACTGAATATAATCATGAAAAGCACTGAACTGAAATCTTCCATCCACCCAGTAATGGTGCTTCTCTACCTGAAGCAAAATCTTGGTGGGGGGAAAGGGGGGAAATGGTGGTAATGTGAATTTAACCCAGGGGTGCTCTACCACTGAGCTACACTCCCAGTCCTTTCTTATTTTGAGACAGGGTCTCACAGTTGTAGAGGCTGGCCTCAAACCTATGATTTGTCTGCCTCAGCCTTCCAGAATCTCTGGGATATCATGAGTGTGCCATTGCACCCAGTGGCAAAATCCTTTCTAAAAAAATTCATCAAAAAGTAACCAAGATGCAATAAATACAACACAACTTTAGTTTAGTGGCAGAGAAAAATACGCATTCTTATTTCATTAGTCAATACTCCTGCAAAATCATCAAGATTTATCAATCATATTAACTCCATAAAACTCAAAATACTTTTCCCCAAAATATATTTTCAACTATCCTTAGTCATTTCTCATCAAAGACTGGTTTAAGTTTTAACCTAAATTAAAAGCTTCTATGTATGCTATTATGAATTCAATTAACATAACAAACCTTTTCTTCCCTTTTTCCAGAACTCAGTCAGAAAGGCAGTATAAATAAAGTCATTTCTCCTTTCCACACTATTAAGGACAAGATAAGTAAAATCCCAATTATGTAAATACAATTATATCCATGGTATTTAGGGACACTGAACAACTGAATGCAGTTAATGTTCAAATTATTTTTGAAACACATCTATTTTTTTTTTACTAATTTTTACACAATGACAAAATACTAACTCAGAAAGTACAACATGATTAATATGAAGAACAATGAATTTTTATTTAACAACTAATAACAATGGGGATTATAATGAATATTTCCTTCAAAGTACTTGGCCCAAAGGGAGTGAACACAATACATCAAAAGTCCTGTTCCTTAATCAGTTACACTCCATGAAGAATCAGTATACCTAACTCAAACTCTGAAATTACTTGCTACTAAGTTAAAAACAGAAATTAGAAAACTTAATTCTAAATTTATACTGCTTCTTAAGTTTTGAGATCTTGGTCAAGTAATAGAATATAAAATCTAAAATTCCTCAGTTGTAAAATGAAAAAACACTATTACATCTGCTCTGGTTAATCCACAAGATGGATATAAAGAAATCAAATAACCTATGTGAAAATTCTCTGAAAAAATCAAACAAAAAGCAGACAGAAGTGTTATTAGTAGTAAACAGATGTTATCATACTAGAGTTTCATCTGCTCTTCTGTAAGGTTTTCTTTTTTTTAAAGAAATGCATTTAAGTGCTCTTTATGTGTAATATGAAATGAATTGCATTCTGCCATCATGTTTAAGAAATTAGAATAAATAATTGAATTTAAAAATTTTTTAAAAAGAAATGCACTTAAAATTCTTTAATTGTAAATGAATAAAAAGCTGAATAAAAAAATTATAAGGAAATATAATGAGAGACCTTTAATAATACTGAGAAATTTGTCCAAAGTACTAGGGAAATTCATTACTGTGAAATAATTCATGAAATATAGTATCAACTCTTTAGGTTAAATTAAATCATGCTAGGGAATTAAAATTCAGTAATGTATCAACCATATTAATTCTTATTCTCAGACTTACCTCTGCCCATTTAAGAATACAGGTCACACAGAAGACATGATTACAACTTTCTGGAAAACCAATTTCCTTCTCTAATAGGCAATTAAGACATATTGGACATCTATCTGCTTCACTGTAAAACAGACCAGTGGTAGCAGTACCATTTCTGTTTTCTTCACCTGTAGAGTAAAACAACCAAATGTGTTTTCAAGTCCTCTAAAACAAAAAAAACTTATTTCTATAGCAATATGGTAGACTAGATACTCTAAGGGCCCTCCTATTACAAAACAATTAGATCTTAGATAAGTAACAAACATAGTCCTTAAGTCCAATAGCCCAACATTAATTACTTTGGCATGCACGTGTCTTGTGTGCATTTCTGTATACATATAGGGGATTGCTGATAACTGAACCCAGCATCTTAACATGCTAAGCACATGCTCTAACACTGAGCTACACCTCCTGCCACTTTATTTTTAATGGGGTAGTAAAAGAACTTCAATTAGTTTTAATGAATTTTAAAATAATAATTAATTTTTTTCATATTATTTCAGCTATATTTATTATAGTGTGTGTATATATATGTGTGTATGTATATATATGCATAATTGGTTCTCTTAAAAATAACCACTACTATTATTATACTTAATAAGCTAGTAATTCAGTAATATAATCAGGTATCTATAAGTGTTAAGATTTTTAATTTTTTTGAAAATAAATATTGCACTTGGATGATGTCTCCTAAGTTCTTTTTTTTAAAATGAATAATTTTTAGGATTCAAACTTTTAAAAGTAAAAATGGCTATAGTGGTAAATCTTCACTCAAACTTATCTCCACCCATCTAGTTCTATCCAACCAAGTAACAACTGTTAAGTTTCTTCTGTGTCTTTCCAAAGATTTTTCTAATGCATAGAAAAGAAAGCCTTAATACATTTCCTTCCATTCACACACYGCAACAACTATACAGATTATTCTGTTTTTTCATTTTTTATTGATGGACATAAAATTGTTTTCAGCCTTTCCTATGATAAACAACTTTGCATGCACTGCTGACTCAGAATTTAAAAAAACTCTAAAATTTAGTATAAATAAAGGAATGGATAGCTGAAATATGAACAGTGTACAGTAAGCAAATGAAAAGCTGCAATTATTCTGGGCATGAATATCCATACTAATGTTCAGATCTGGAGACCAAGCCTTCCCAGGTAGAAGAACTAACAGTAATACTCAGAGACTCTAGGACTAAGTCAAGAGCGGGCTAAGGTGTTCCAGCATGGATCTAGGAAGAAGCAAGTCACATATAATTCCTGTAGAGGAAAGAATCCCTAAATTAGGCATTCAGGATTCCACACATTAAATTTATCAAATATCAAATTCTAATCAAACATTAACAAATCTAAGGAAATTAGCCACCATGAGTAAGAATCAGCAAAAACAAAATTAGCAAAAACCAAAATCACTGGTTTCAAAAAGCAGAATTGTTAAATATCGTGAAGAATAACTAAACAGCAGATCAGACCAAGAAGAAAAGAGTACTTCTGAACTGGAAGAAGAAACTATCTAGGTTCTAGAAGACAGAAAAGGAGATATAATAATGACAGAGAGGCTAAGAAATGAGCTAGAAGTAAGGTCTAACATACTAATTAAAATCCAGAACAGAATTAAAAGAGAATAATTAAAGAGGCTGAAAAAAAATGTACACCTCTTTAGTTTACTTTAGAGTTTAACAACAAAAACAAGTAAAAACAAAAAACTCTTTGTGTATTTTGACATGCATACAAATAAATATGTAGAAACACAAAGTTTTGCTTTCAACAGACAAGCTTTATAAAAACAAAACATTACCTTCCATATCTTCATACTCCTGTTCTCCCACATTTAGGGTATATACAGTTTTCTTCTTCATTTCTCCTTGGAAAAGAATTTCCTATAGGATGAATTACAATAAAGAATTTTTGTTTTACTTCTCTCAATAATAATTTATTAAAAAATTAATTATGAATTATAAGAAATTACACATAAAAGAACGCAGTACAAACCAAGCCAGTCTGTGGGTAATCCAGTATTCTTTTATAGTACTTGCAAGAAAAAAAAAGCAAACAGTTTTATTGAAAAGAAAAGCCTTATCTAACTATTAAATAAAAGCTAAATGATAAATTCTATGACAAAAATACAATCCAAACATAGGAAAAAGAGATGAACCTGAAATGGAGTTTTCAGGGAAGCCAATAAGTCACATGTTGAGGAACTTAAAGCATTTATGAAGCAACACAGTATAAGGAAATAAAATAGAAATTAGCTAAGACAATCTGACAAGAATAGTCAGTAAATGAAAGTATGTATATTTGTGTATACTGGAACAGGATGGGCATATAAGCCAAGAATTGCACCTGAAATTTCACAATGAGGGGCAATAAAAAAAATAGGCAATGCACTGTAAAACAAACTAGATTATAGACAGATCTCTGATGAGAAGTGGCTATGGATGTAGTTCAGTAGTAGASCACTTTCCTAGCATATGCAAGACCCCAAGTTTGATGCCCACTATTACAAAAATATCAGAGACAGACAGAAGGGCAGACAGACAGATGGACAGACAYAGATATAAATTTATTGTTTTAAAGATTGCTATGTGAGAAAGTATAGAATGGATTACAGAGGGGAGAGATTAGAAGCAGAATAATTTGCATAGCTCAAGTAATTGAATGTGAATTAGAAAACCAGAAAATTAAAGAGCAGATGAATAATTTCTGAGATTCAGTAAGCAATTATGGGTCTAGGTGTGGGGGTGCATGCCTGTAATCCCAACAGCTCGGGAGAATTGTGAGTGGAAACCAGCCTCAGCAAATAGCAATATGCTAAGCAACTCAGTAAGACCCTGTCTCTAAATAAAAATACAAAACATGGCTAGAGATGTGGCTCAGAGTGCCCCTGAGTTCAATCCCCAGTACCAAAAAAAAAGCAATCATGGSGAAGGAGTCAAATTATTTTTCTGGCCTAGACAACTAGGAAAATGGTAATTTTTATAAGGAAAGAGAGAGAAAGAGAAACATGGGAAAGGAAATTAATTTGGTTGTCAAAGGGAAGAAATTTATGAGGAAAAAATAGTTTTAAAAATCAATTCTCAATATCCTTCTTGAAATTATGTAAAACACATGACTGCAAAAACCCATCTGAATACAGACATTGTAGGTATCTAAACACAACAAATTCCCCAATTTATCAATTATGATTCTCCTATGTATCTGACGCAATTTTCCTATTTTCTAAAATTATATACACATGCTAATTTCTACGTTAAAAGTATGACTTGCCTAGGAAAATTTCCTGTTTGGTTAAATAAARTCACTCTTCTGTTTACAAAACCAACTGCAAAACAAGAAACTTAGTAGCAGATGTTAAGAATAAATATTTGGGGGTATGGTAACTGGYGATTGAACCCAGAGATACTTTACCACTAAGCTACATCCCAGCTCTTTCTATTTTAAGACAGGGTCTCAGTAAGTTTGTTAGGGCCTCACTAAGTCGCTGAGGCTGGCTTCAAACTTACGATCCTCCTGCCTCAGCATCCTGAGCCACTAGGATTTATGTGTGCCACCATGCCCAGCAAATGTGAAAATAACATAAAGATTGCAGTGATTTAAAGCTCAAAATGAACCAAAAGTCAGTTTTTTTTTAAAAAAAAAAAAAGACTTAATTCAATCAATCTTCCTTAATAAAAGTAGAACATCAAAACAAGAGGACAACTTCTCATTCTTTGCCTACATTTGCGGTATCTGTTTTAGTTCTGGTGCTATTCTTTAGAGACAAACAACACGAAGATAAATGTCCAAGAAAGATGACAAAAATGGCTACAGCCTTAGAAACCCTATCATTTACGGACAAATAAAGTGGTAAGCCTGGAAAAACAGAAACCTTAAGAAGAATGTGAGCAGTTATCTTAAAATGGAATGGACTATTCTGAGAGGCAATAATATAACCTATCAATGAAGATATTCAAGCAAGTCAATGTCCTCTTATGGGTTTTGTTTAAACTCGAAGATTTATTGAGTACTATAGTCAATTCACTAAGTTCAGCACTGAACAAAAACAGAAATCCTTGCCTGTCTACTCTAGTAAAGGAGACAAAATAACTAAAATATCTATTATAACAGAAGCTGAAAATGCTATAGAAAAAAATTAACAACAGTGGAGCTAAAAAAATAAAAAAGAGTGAGAAACTAGGGAGACTGCTATTTTACAGAGTGTTTAGTGAAAGCCTCTCTATAAAATGACGTTTGAACTGGCAGTGTAAAAGAAGCAAAAGAGAAAAAGTTGCATGTATAGTGCTAAGCATTACAGGTAGAGAAGAACAAATGTGAAAGTACTCAGAGAAGCAGCTTTGTTATGTACAAGGAACAAGAAACAGAAGAGTATGGTTAGAATAGAGCCAAACAGGAATAGCAGTAGGTGAGAACAGAGAGGTAACAGAAGACAAGATCATGCAGCACTTTCTAAGCTAAAGTAAATACAATGRCTTCTTCTCTGAGAGAGATGGGCCCCTTAGGCAGTTTTGAGCAGAAGTAATACCAAGGGGGAAAGTAGAAGCCAGCAAGATTACTCTAATAATCTACAAAAAAAAGATGTCATAGCTTTGTACCAGAGTGGTAACAAAGACAATAGAAAGTGCTCAGACTTCAGTTGTGTTTTGAAAATTTGGCCATGAGAATCTGATGATCGACTGGATGAAAGGCATTCGTTAGAGAGCAAGAGTCCAGGATAATTTCAAAGGATTTTYATTCAAGCAAATAGAATGATAAAGTTGCTTACATAGAGAGGACTACTTAAAAAAAAAAAAAAAAACATAACCATTTACTCTCATTGTTATTTATGCAGAAAGAAAGCATCAATATAACCTAAGAACCTGTTACAAATTCAGGATATCTCAAGAACCATCAAATACGTAGTGAATCCAAATCTGCATTTTAAGCTCTGTACAAAATCAATATACTTTAAAGCCTGAAAAGCAATGCTCTAAACAACTTCCCAACTTAGTTGATTTTAGAGTCATACTGTGCTCCCATATGGTCAATAATTGCATATAATTTTTAATTTCTGCTCATATCATACTACCATATCTCTCCCATTATTCTAAATAATTTTAATAAAAACTATTTAAATCAATGTGATAAAAACATCAATCTGAAAATTGACACAATATTTTAAAAATCTAACAAATTTTCAGAAGATGTAGTAGATTATCTCTATATACATAATTTGTCTCACCTATGCTATTTTCAAATTTTCTCCTCTAAGAATAGCATTCATATTTATAAATTATAATTTACATTTTATAATGAATGAACTGTCTTCTCTAAGTCTCATGTAGTAAAGCACACAAGCTTTCCCTTCTATTAAAAATATGCTTTAAAAACTRCAGAAGCACTTCAAACTTTTAGAAGTTGTGTGCTTCTTCCTGTATTAATAATCTTTTATATCTGAAAAATGATTATGCCATATTAACACTTTAAACTAATAAGGGTCTTAGCATTTCATTAGACTTTTTTTTTGTAAAAACAGCATCAATATAACCTAGGAACACGTAGCAACATGGCCATATCTCAACCAATTTTAAGTTGCCAAGACTGGTCTTATATTTGTGATCCTCTTGCCTTGGCATTCCAAGTAGGTGGGATTATAGTTATGCACTACCACACTCTGCTCAGTAGACTTGTCTAAACTTTTTAATCTTTTTTTCTTAAGTTTCAGTTCAATAACTTATAATCTTTTGCAGGGGGATTGGGGTGGAGGGGTGTTACCAGTGTTTGAACTCGGGRGCGCTTGACAACTGAGACACATCCCCAGCCCTATTTTATATTTTACTTGGAGACAGGGTCTCACTGAGTTGCTTAGTGGCTGGCTTTGAACTCACAATCCTCCTGCCTCAGCTTCCCAAGCCACTGTGATTACAGGTGTGTGTCACCACGCACAGCACAACTTATGAACTTTTAACTTGTTCATGTTTATCTGCTRTATCTGCCTGGACTCCAATTTCTGATCCAAGAATCCAGGCTTTTGAATATCAGCTTTTCTTTGAATTTCCAGTAATAGAAATGCAGGAATACCACACAAAGCTACAGTCCTAGCCAGTAATAGAAGACCTAAGAGATAAGCTATAAGTGGGTAGGATTATTGTTCTTTGTGGTTATCTAAAAGAGTTAGACATATCCCAATTTGGGGCTATTTACTATCTATGGTTCTATAAACAAGTCAAATCCTTCCTACACTACTTATTATTACTTCTGCTAAGCTCTGTAAGTAAATTATAAATTAATTATAAATATAACTAAATTTTCTTTTGATGGTTCTAAATTTACTTCAAATAAATTTCAGATAATAGATGATCATTTAAGATTTTTAATAAACTGTTTACTTTTCTGATGATTTTAACTTAATGAATTTTAATCTTTAATGGCTTTCCCAGACTTTACCTTTCCAAGTTAAAATACCTTTTTAGTCTGTTATACCTGATATAATGTTCTAACATACTTCTATCTACTAGTTGCTCTTTTCCATTTCATTATACGCATTATAATGAAAAAATAATAATAATATCTCTATTATGTACTGGAAATAATATTTGAAATATACTAATGCAAAATCTGGRGGGAACAGTCTGATTTTTAAATTTTATGAGAAGCCACTGAAGTTTGAAATTTGGGAGATAAAAAGAAAAAAGAAACTACAGGTACAAATCAATTTTTAGGAGTTCCACACTCATTTTTTTCCACAAGAACCATGGAATACATGGAAGTAAGAATCCTAGGCCAGATATTGCTACCCATTCAAATAACAGCAGCATGTTGAAAATTTTCAGTTCTCTAGAATAGTGCTGCCCCAAAAGAAATTACTCTATGAAGCAATATTAAATATGAGTAGTATCAGAAA